GCATCAGGGACTGTGGACTGTGTACCATTATAGATACAAATGCAGTCCAAAAAATGCCGCGACGTGTCAGCAAACAAAAATGAAGTTGACACCCTCAGCGCCTCCTGTATCTGTCACCAGCGAGGTTCTGTCAAGCAGGCAGGCTGCTGAGGACATGGAATAAGACCGCTGTCCTCTCCTTCTGCTCACAGACCAAGGACACTTGCGGTCTGGTCAGAACAAGACGCACAGGACGTGCCAACCCCCCTGCAGGTTCTCACTGGTTCTGTTTGTCGCTTCAGGACAGGAGCCCACTGCTGCCACCAGTGAAGACACCCCGTTTCCTCTGCCTGCCTGCACCCCAATCCGAGAGGAAAGAGAACACAGAAGTCAGAAGCAAGACCTTGGCGTTTTTGTAATAACTTTTAATCTGCAATACTTTCCTCCCGATTTCTTTAGAGATGAAACTGTGTCCCTGAAACTGACAGGACAGACCAATACTGGACAGCCGAGACACAGCGGCCCAGGATGGACACACTTTCCCCTTCAAGAACACTTTCAACAGGAGAGTTTAAAAACAACGAACACCTACATACAGTCCATACGCAGTGCCCGACCGGCTTCTCCAACCCCCTGCCGAAACGAGAACAAAAACCATGACATTCAAGACCGAGTCCTGGATAATGGCAGTTAAAAAAAAAAAGATTCTAATGTTGTTTATACTGTAATCACAATTGCAATGCCCACAGCACAGGCATTTCAGTCATTAATGAATTCCAGAGAACACAAGGGTCACATTAATTCCTACTTCTAACTTCATTTAAATAAAATCCAATGAAAAAGATCCACAGTAAAAGTCCGCTCTTTGGAAGGGCACTGGACGCCGCCAGAACTATATTGAGGTCTCTGAAGGTCTCCTGTTTCCCTGGGGCGGGATAGGAGGTGACACAGGAAGACAGTCAGTAGTAGCAGCATGAGCATCACGGTTAACGGCGGGAAGCTCTACGCAGACAGCGGGCAAGTGGTCACTGACCTCCGCTAACAGGGGGTGGCTTTGAGAGAGCCCGCACGGAGTGGAGCCCCCCACTTCTCACGGTCCAGCAAGGCCACTGGCGCAGTGGCCAGGCGCTCAGGAGGAGGTGGCCCGTGCGCTTCGGCACCACGGAGCTCCGGAGGCAGGAACAAACCCAAAGGCCGCAGCTGGAGATCCCCAGGACACCCGGCCACAGAGCGGGGCAGGGGGAGCGGACGGGACCACACGGTGCCTGGAGACGCCGCGCAGATCCGCTTCACAAGAGCGGCGCAACGCACTCTGCACTGCACTGCGTGGCTTGGGCTGGGGGCAGGAAAAGCTTTCCGGGTGGGACAGTCGGATGACCAGTTCCCGATCCCTGCTCGCCTGTCGGAGAGGAAGCCAGGAAGCGGGGGAAATCTTAAAATCCGAAACGGCCCTCCGCCAACGTCCGTTGTCAAACAGCGAGTCTTTGGGCTCGCCGCCCCCGCCGTCACGGCTCCCCCTCGCGGCCGGCGGGGTCTTGGGCCGGATACGCGGACCCCGAGGCCCGGCAGGACCCGCCCC